AGAGAGAGAGAGAGAGAGAGAGAGAGAGAGAGAGAGAGAGAGAGAGAGAGAGAGAGCCAGGGGGGACAGAGCTGTACCTATGCCATGTTTCCTGAACTCTTTGACCACTCCCAGGCTGAGGATGTAGGCTACCTGTGTGTCCACAGGGAAACTGGAGGCCAGGATGTCTCCATCCTAAAAAAAACAGAACAGACACACGTGGACAATTAAGAGCCGTCGTCGTGAACACGAAGCAGAATATTTGACCTTCCACATAAGAAGACTGTCAACATCTTCTTTGCCTATGCAAATTATCCACTGGGGAGGTGGTTTCCAAGATGCAAATCCAGTTTGCAGAGTCAACAGAGCGAACAGCTTTTAAAACTATTGCCTAAAGTGAGAGGAGCAGATTTCTGATTCCAGTCCAGGTGAATAAACTCCTCTTTATAAGTTCCTGTGTTTGATAAGAGTGCACTGAGTCAAGGCCGCCTGGTTCGTGTAATTAGACTAAAAACAGACTTCTCTATGTCGGTGTTCCACTTCTTTTCAAAAGGCAGCAGAGTGAGATTAGATAAACTGCACCAAGCAAATGCTGCCTGACACCGGCTCTACAGGACCCAGGTTATAACCACAGAGTGTGTGTGTGAGTGAGTGTTTAACAAGGCGGAACATCACACCTCTTTGTGCACTTTGGTCCGGCTTTTGATCTCAGCCACAATCATTCCCACGATGCCTCCTCTGAAGGTGGCAGCGAGGGAGAAGAACTTCTTGTTGGAGGTGATGTCCTGATACCATGAGTCTGGGTACCTACAGTCAAAGGTCAGACAGACGAGCAGTGAGCAGCATAGAAATCTAAAAAACGTCCACAACATAATGGAAAACTTCTTTATAAAAGTCAAACAAATTCAGTAATGGGCTCAGAGGTGATCCCTGCTATCAATGACACAATAAACATTGTTCTTACTCGATTGGAAACCAATCACCGCAGAGCAGCTTGACGTTCTCTATGTCATCGTGGCAGAGGAAGCGGAGCTGGACTTCACTGAGAGCTGTGGGAGGCACCACGTCACTCATTCACACCTGCTGGACCAACACAGAGCACGGAAAGGTTTTTATGAACCAAGAGAGTCAGTAGCTCCGACCGAGAGAGATGGTTCACCAAAGTTGAATTCCACGAGAAGCCACGCTGAGGATTTGAGACACCACATGAAGCTAATGTTTTATTCTCACGCACCGACAGGAAGTTTCATAGTGTTGCGTAAGCGTGACCGCACCCTCAGTATCAGTGTATTAAAACTGAAACTAAGCGCGAACATGGATCATTATACGTCCATGATGGTGAGGATGAAGTCTTGGTGTCTCACGACCGTCCAGGGGGTCTCGACCCCTAGTTTTGGAGTCAGTGCTTCAGAGAAACTGGAACAAGCCCAAATAAGAAATCCACTCAAAACATGAATCATGTATGAGGATTTATTTTTCAGTAGAGAATAAACGGGACAATGTCACAAACAGCAGAGCTTCTCAAGTTCATGAGTGTTGCACAGACTCTACACAACAGTGGACACAATCACAGCCACTGGGAGCGGAGTGTCACAGGCTAACAAGCTAGCTGACGACTGAAAACCACAAACAACACGTCACACGTGTACTGACCACAACACACACTTCTACAAACACACAACTTATCTCACAGTCATACATGTCTGCTCGGGAGCTAATGTTGTCAACGTGCAGCTAGCTGAGTGTCACCATCACCTCTGACTGACACACACACACACACACACACACACACACACACACACAC